TCCTAAAGAATTAACAAAACAGCTTAAATCAGACGACCTTTTAAAACGAGATGTGTACAGTTTAGTAGAAAAAGTATCACCACTGATACCTTTTTTAGGATTTTTTCCTGCTAGTATAATAACAATTAAACATGTTTACGAACATAAAAATAATAAATCGGATATAAAATCTGAGGAATAATATAAATGAGTTTATTTTATGGGTATGATAAAACAGATATTAATGTAAATATACAAGGATCTGTAGATAAAACACATCTATCAGATAACTACTATACTAAAACTCAAGCTGATGGTAAATTTAATGACTACTATACTAAAACGCAAGCTGATAATAAATATGCTTTGACTTCTAATTTACTAAAATATTATACTAAAACACAAGTTGATAATAAATATGTTTTTGTTTCAAGATTAGCCAACTATTATACAAAGAATGAAACAAATGGTAAGTATGCTTTAAGTTCTAATTTAAATAAATATTACACAAAGACTGAAATAGATGGTAAGTATGTTTTGACTTCTAATTTAACTAACTATTATACTAAAACACAATCTGATGGTAAATTCAATGACTACTATACTAAAACACAAGCTGATGGTAATTATGCTTTGACTTCTAATTTAAATAACTATTATACTAAAACACAAGCTGATGGCAAGTATGCTTTGACTTCTAATTTAAATAACTATTATACTAAAACACAAGCTGATGGTAAATTTAATGAGTACTATACTAAAACACAAGCTGATGGTAAGTATGCTTTCACTTCTAATTTAAATAACTATTATACTAAAACACAAGCTGATGGTAAGTATGCTTTGACTTCTAATTTAAATAACTATTATACTAAAACACAAGCTGATAGCAAGTATGCTTTGACTTCTAATTTATCCAAATTCTATACAAAAAATGAAATCGATAGCAGAGTAAATGGTAAAGTAGTATACCATAGTAATCAATTAAATTACAACTCAAATGTTAGTAGCCAACAAGATATTATAAATATTCTTTTTAACAATATTAAATTTATTGAATTTACACTTCTATTTGTAAATACATCTGATAAATCTAAAATAATTAAATTAGATATTATGGTAGATAAGATTAATAAAAAATTTATCATTAAAATAACAAATGATAACGAAAAAAAGATAGCTGATGCAATACTAGATTTATATCATGTATACTGTGCTGATGATGATTTAATCAATATTTCTATTATTATTGATCCAAAAGTATCTAACTCTTCAATTAATTATAATGAATGGAAAATAAAATGGCTTAAAGCATTTAATGGATTATCCAAAATACAAGTTTATTCACAACATACATCTACATTATCTATGGTATATAATGGTTTTTCATCAAATTTTGCGGCCACTATAGAAGATAATATTTTAGCAACTAAAAAATTTGTAAATGATGAAATCGAAAAATTAAAAAAATTTATTAAAGATAACTATCAATCTAAAACTGAAGATGAAGATGAATAATAATCCTCATGTTTGACTATATATCACATAACTGTTTGTAACCAGTAATTAATACAAAACGGTTTACCGCATATATACCTTTTGTAATAACTGTTTGCTGCAGGCAGTTTGTAAAACATTGTATTATACATGCGCTGATATTTACATGTGCTGGTTACATTAAACAACCATTATTAAAAACATGCACTAAGACACGCGCTTGACGGACAAATTAAAAAAAACATATAGATTCCATATTTTGTAAAACATTGTATTGTTATACATGCGCTGATGAAATGTACTAGCTCCATTAAGCAACCATTGTTAAACATGTACATGTGACACGCGCTTGACGGACAAATTAAAAAAAAAACATATAGATTCCATAGTTTTGTAAAAGAGCATATGTTAAGCCTCTGCCATTCTCGAATTCTTCGAATTCATCGAATATCACTTTGGGCTCCGAATTTTCTCTTCGAGAAAATTTTCCCCGCCGAGCCCTAAGGATTCTCGAAAATTCCATTCACCTGCTCGATCATGGAGTAATATCACTTCGTGATATCACATCATGATCTGTGCTGCCGAATTTTCTCCGAACCGATGCTTTGTTAACATTTATTTGTAAAGACTGTTTGTAAAATTTAAACGCACCTATATATTTCAAAAACATATAGATTCCATATTTTCAAACGATAGATTGTAACCTCAAGATTTTTACCACCTTTTTTTCTCCACTACTTTGGAAACATGGGCTTTTTGCACAGATTTGTTTACATGGCCTTTTGCGTTGGTATCCCTTTGAAAACACGGCCTTTTTACCACTATTTTGAAACAATGACTTTTTTTGCGCAGCTTTGTTTACATGACCTTTTGCGTTGGTTTCCCATTTGAACCATGGTCTTAATTTGCGCTAATACCCCCATGTCTTATACTACTTGCAAAGGGCACATGTGAATCATATGATGAACCTAAAACCCGTGTACAGCGAAAATAAGACGAGGCTGCGCAAGTTCTTTAATGCCGTGGAAACGAATTATTGAGGACTCGAGGCACTCGATGTAAAGGAGGAGATGTATTGCGAGATAGTCGTGCCCAATCTTCTAACAAAAATACCGGACTCATTAAAACTGACGATTACCAGGGGAAGAGACTATTTAGAGTGGGGCATGAAAGATTTTGTCGACGCGTTGCGAGTCTAAGTGGAGCTGCGGGAATGCCACAAATTAGCAGTTGGGGAGAAGGACGAAGATCAACGAAGAAGACGACAGGAACCAGGAACAGCTAGCGGATTGTTTGCCAGCCGCAAAAACAGATTGTTTTGAGCTTTCTGCTGTGGGGAGCACAAACACGAAGAGTGCAAGAAGATAAAAGGACTTTTTTGCGAAGCTTTGTTTACATGACCTTTTGCGTTGGTTTCCCATTTGAACCATGGTCTTAATTTGCGCTAATACCCCCATGTCTTATACTACTTTTGCACCATCAATTTGTTTCCGTATCTGCGTTCTAACACTTTCAGGGCTTCTGCATAATTGATCGAAGTCAGAGCAATTCCCGAAATTGCTGACTTGGCCAGCTCCTCCACTAGTTCCCTCAGACAGGTGAATTTGTCGACCTCAGACAATCCGTCATTGTTGTGAATTGAATTTTCAAGAGAGTCCCAGAATCCACGCCAATCTTGTATCTTGCAGAAGAACTTTTTCACCTCCAGTTTGGGCAGCTTTACCCTGCAGCGTGCTCTACTGGATACTGTACTTGCTGATGTGTTGGCGAGTTCTTCATTTCGCTTGTTTGTCTCTAACGTGCTCAGCGCTTCTTTTTTTTTGACCAACGCGCCCAAAACTTCGCAGCTGTATTCCGATAAGCCGTCAATATCTGCCGCAATATCTTCATCTTTTTCTAACAAGCTCTGAATCTCATCGTACAACTTCGAAATTGTATCAAATTTCTGTAGGAGTACAAGCCGCATTTTTTCCAGTTCGACTTTCCTTGATGGCGCATTATCGTTTACCACACTTCTCACCTTGTTCACAACTATTGTGGCGTACGATTTGTGCCCACACTGTAAATTTTGGGGGGTGAAAATTACCCTTAAAGTTAGGAGTTAAATGAGTGCCACAGAATGCCCCGGTTTTAAAGGGTAACATTTTATGGGGGTAATATTTATTTAAGGGTAAAATTTACGGTGGTAATATTTAGTTAGGGGTAAATTCTATTAAGGGGTAAAATTTATCAAGGCGTAAAATTTATGGGGGTAAATTTTAAAGGGGTGATTTTGATGAACATGCAATTCCCCCATAAATTTGGGGTATAAAGAAATTACACAGAATGCTGCATTTTTTAGGGCACAAATACAGGAGGTAATGCTTCAATGGGGCTAAAACGAACTCTGAATCTATAATAAGAATAAAATAAAATAGATCAAAAAAACAATCTCTTTATTTCAACAGAAAAGGAATGAGCGTAGCTATCTCGAGAATGGAGTGAAGGGTGGCAAATATTAAAAATGCGCGTTATTGACAATAAAAAAGATTTGATTCAAAGAAAAGTAACGGAGGGGTGCACTCCTCGACTGTCGCTTTTTTGTCAGCTCTGACATCGTGAACAACCCTGTATCCTTTTTATATGTTCTTCTTATATACTGCTTCTAGATCCGGCTCGAAGGACCACGTTTCGCACAATTTGTACGAAGTGCTGGTTCACTGTTCTTAAAACTTCATTCGAAAGATGGGACTGTATTTTGAATATAATATTTAACACCTCGATATGATATTTACAGTGATTGTGCACGATTTTTATGTTACGGAGTTCCAAGCGTTGGTTCTTCGCGATACGGAATATTTAAACTGATATCGTTAAGATTACGGACAACCGTCAATCCTTAAACTGCGTTTTCGAACTTTATTGCCTTATGCAATACAACTCTAATTTATCGAATTTGTATGACCAGTTCCTACAACAATAACGTCAACTTTTCCGAGCGCCCGAACCAACGCTTGCAAGCTTTATTTTTATTTATGTATAATTATTCGGAAGTGGTTTTAAGCGTTTACATATGACTTTCAACTTTGCCATTCCGTTTCTACCTACATCCTACCGCAATTACGCATTGCGGCGAGGAAGTGTTCTGTTAACATGACTACAGTATTTTACATCAATTTAATAATATCAGTTATATCTCATAATCTATAGGACACAGTCACACGCTACATAATTTGACATGACAATTTACAACACACTGAATTTGGTTTTGCCACTTATCTTGAATGTAATTATATTCATATGTACAATTCCATAATCTATTTTTGCTATATCTACCACAATTTTTTATGGATTGCAAAACTTAATGTTTGTCCAAAGTGTGCTAAATACAACTATACAACGACAAAATTCGCTCAACTAATGAGATTTAACCATGATGTTTGCGATCGCTTGCAAAGCTAGCGCTTGTATATATTAATATCTTCAGTTGTTTTGTAGGGATGTCTGATTATGCGCAGAAAGTAAACAATGTTTTGTTTTTATAGAAATTGTTCATGCTAGCTGCGTACAATCCGAACATATGTATGGAGATAAATGAGATGGATGGAAGACGGTCGGTTGGTGTTCTGCTTTTTGCAGTAAAACATGTAGTTTTATAGCTTGCGCACAGGTAGGTAATGAACAAAAACTGCTAGAAATGCATCCAAAAACGATTTTACAAATAATTCTTGTACGCCAAGTAATATAAACTTTCGTTTCAAGATTTCAAGTACAATTAAAATAAGTAGAAAAAAAAAACTTATCTACATGTTTTGTTTGCCATATTGCCTATGAAGAGTGCTAAATTGTTTTCATTATTTTTTCATTCTTGTTTACGATGCAGAAGCAGTTGGTCGTATTTTTTCATTGTCAAAAATTTTGTTTTTGTAGATGGAATCAAGAGAAAACAGAAATCTAATTTACATTCAGCAAATAATTAATGTGGTACAAAAGGAACTTGCTCAATTTTTCATCAAAGAATGGAACTCTCGTTACATATTAACACATGGAGAATGGGATGATACCAAAAATAGTGGCAAAAAATTTTACACTTTAGAATCAGGTAGGAGGTTGGATAAAAATCTACAGTTAAAATATCAGGAGGGAGACACCAGTAAGTGGAGCTGCACAACATTATTTGATGCTATACTTTTTTCAAATTCAATTGGAAACCATCTTGACACAAAAACAAAGGATGCTGTTCATGCACTTCGAGTTGAAAGAAGCAAGTACGCACATTGGTATGAAAGGGAATGCTCAGATGATGATTTTGACGATATAGTCAATATCATTGAAAAATCATTTCAAGATTTGAAATTTTCTCTCGATGGAATCATTGAAATAAAGAATCATCGAAAAAATTTTAATTCGTTCCGAGTTCTTCCTTCAAAATCTAATCATTTTATTGTTAAACGCACTGAATTACGAGATAAAATTATAAAAGATCTTGAACAATTAAGGAATAATAACAATGATAAACTGACATATTTTTACATCACTGGTAACCCTGGCAGTGGTAAATCTCAACTTGCAAGACAGGTTTGTGAGAAAATATCGTGTGATTGGGAAAATAGAACTTCGTTTGTAATGACTCTCGATGGAAAAAATGAAGAATCTCTTTTAAAAACTTACTGTGAACTTGGATACCATTTAAACTGTGACAAAAATAAGATTAAAAAGTTTGAAGATGAAAACTGTTCCATCACAGACAAAGTGAAGAATTTGCGATCGTTAGTATCCGCATCATTAAAATTCTGGCAAAACTGGTTGATCATTGTAGACAACGTGGTACAGCTCAGCAAAATTTCCTCATTACTTCCCCAAGTTGGTGATCCCACGTGGATAAATGGACAAATCATAGTAACTATCCAGAACACAGATGCCGTACCTCAAGATGTTGAGTTTAACAAACATATTTCTATCAGAAGTGGAATGAATAATAAAGAATGTTTTCAATTGTTGAATTATTACACTAAAGATGAAAATACTGATGATCAATTGTTGAATGAAGTATCGCACGCATTAGATCGTCAACCGCTGGCTTTGGTTGCTGCTGGTAATTATGTCAGTCGCGTAAAAAAAACCAACCTTTCATTTACTTGGAGTCAATATTTAAAGAAAATATCTTCTGAAGAACAAGAAAACATGGACGCCAATTTTATTAAATTTAACTCGGTATATCCTAGAAGTATGTTACAAGCTTCACTTTTAGCTGTCAGACAAAATGCTGAAGAATCCTCATTATTGGCAAATGTTGTTCACTTTTTTTCTGTGATATCGTTTGATCCTATACCACGAGACATAATTCTTTGTTATGTACAAGAAATAGATCCCAAGCACTCAAAGGAAGATATATGTCTTTGTTTAAAGGACTGCTCATTGTTCTTGCATTCAGAAAATAATGACATTAGTCTACATCGCATTGTTCACAAAGCAATTATTGTTTATCAATCTGAATTCTCAAATGAAGAACATGAAATGGAAAGTAACGTTGATCAAATAGTTCAAGCACTTTACATATTTAAAGAGAGAGACGACGAAATCAAATTAATGCCACATCTTGAAAAAATTGTTCAACTATTAAAGACCAACGAGACAAAAATCAACCTGAATACGTTACAAGTTTTCCAATATTTTGTTGACAGATTGAGACATTTTGGAAAATACGATCTTGCTCTTGAACTATTGGATAAATTTGAATCAGAAGAATCTATTAATGACAAAGCTTGGTATTTTAATATCCTCGGTGTTTTATACCATGACACTGGGAAGTATAGCAAAGCTAAAAATCATCATGAAAAGGCTCTAAAAATTCGAAAACAATCGTTAGGTCTAAATCATGTTGATGTTGCTGGGTCTTTAAACAATCTTGGTATGGTGTTTTATGAAACTGGAAATTACGAGAAAGCTTTAGGGTTTCACAAAAAAGCTCTGGAAATTAGAAAACAATCGTTAGGTCCAATTCATGTTGATGTTGCTGGGTCTTTAAACAATCTTGGTATGGTGTTTTATGAAACTGGAAAGTACGACAAAGCTATAGAGGCTCACGAAAAAGCTATGGAAATTCAAAAACTATCGTTAGGTCCAAATCATGTTGATATTGCTGGGTCTTTAAACAATCTGGGTAATGTGCTTGAAAAAACTGGAAACTACGACAAAGCTATCGAATTTCACGAAAAAGCTCTGGAAATTCGAAAACAATCGTTAGGTTCAAATCATGTTGATGTTGCTGTTTCTTTAAACAATCTTGGTTTGGTGTTTGAAAAAACTGGAAGTTACGACAAAGCTATAGAGGTTCACGAAAAATCTCTAGAAATTCGAAAACAATCGTTAGGTCCAAATCATGTTGATGTTGCTGATTCTTTAATCAATCTTCGTAATGTGTGTTATAATACTGGAAAGTACGACAAAGCTAATGAGTTTCACAAGAAAGCACTGGAAATTCAAAAACAATCCTTAGGTCCAAATCATATTGATGGCGATGCATCTTTAAACAATTACAGTTTGCTTTGTGATAAAACAGGAAAACACGACAAAGCTTTAAAGTTTTTTGAAAAACCTCTAGAAGTTCGAAAACTGAATGTGCCAGGTAAGGACCATACTCAAGCCCCTGCGTCTTTGAGCAAGCATCGTACGATGTATGAAGAATTTGAAAAATACGAGTCTCAAAAAACTCAGAGTAAATTTTTAGTTCCAAGTCATGCTCACGTATCTCTGTCATCAAAATATGTTGGTAAGTTTGTAGGTATTATATACAACATAATGTTGGTGGCTCATTTGCGTTAATGATATTTTGTTAAAGTGCAACTCCGGCCAATTTTCACTACATCTTTCTTTCGCCAAAAGAAAATATATCTTTTAGCAAAATTTTAATGTATGTTTGAGCATTTTTGCTTTGGTATAAGTTGTTTAATTTTAACGCTAAATTGCGCCACCGGATGCGAATTTTTACAAATGGATCGTGACGTCATAAGATGTTACCCCCTCGCTAGTTTGTTATATTACTATAAACAAATGCCAGCATGGAGCATCAATAATATTAAATTTTTAGTCAAAAATGCGTTTTATTCCGCAAAATTTGGCAAAAGTATCAAAAAGATAACTATCAATACAAATATTGGTTAACACATCTTTGGAGGACGCAATTTTGTCATAAAGTTCATCAGCGAAGTTTGTTAACGCTGACAGCCATAATGAATATAAACAGTAATCAAATGTATTCTGCCGTTCTTTTACTAAATGTTGGACACTTTGATTATTAAAATAAGCTTAAAAATGTGTAACTCTTGACGATGAAGCTTTCTGCATTGATGTCTCGACCACAGGTGTTGTTGTAACTTGTAATTGTCATAGAGTTGCTGAGAATATCGTAACTATTAACCATATTCTATATACAGACGTTACTGAACTGGAAATATACTGGGAAAATATACTGGGAAAATATACTGTGACAAAGTCTTGTATCCGTCAAATCAATAGGTACATTAATGGCTTAGGCATTAATATTAATGTCAAATTTAATTCATGTTTTCTGTGTCTAACTCCAACTATTTGAGATCCATAGCTTATTAATGGCTTTTAATATGTTTCAGTCGGCTAAGAATACATACAAATTTCATAGTGTAATACAAAATAGTTTGGCCATAATGAATTTAAAGTCCTAGATTTAAGTGGTTCATTGACATACAAATTGTTTCATGTGAGGACTTGGTTGTTCATTTTTGTTGTAGACAAACAAAAGAGCTAAAGCAATAATTAAAACGCAGTTTGGATTCGTATTTACATTAATCAACCAAAAGAATAATTCAAAAATCTACCTATAAACTAAAAACAGATACATAAAACTCGCTCTAAAGAACAGTGAGATGGAAACAAAACATTTTCATCAAACAAACATTGCTCAAGATGTATAACAGCTATAAACTCATTGTTAGTTGTAAGATTCAAATACAACATTGCACCAATTTAGAGATAATAATATTCCATACACCTGGTGTCTTTTTCAAAGTGACTCATAGAATAGACCTTTTCAAGGTTATCGCAGCCATATTGCAGGGGGTGCAAAAACATTGGGCCGAGCGCGCGGTCACGCATAGCGTCCATATAAATTACTAATAAATGCGCAAAAATTACCCTTATACATATTGGCCATTTCTTTCAAAAATATTTCTCAAACTCGTCCATTTTAATAGTCGAATTATTATTCGCGATTTTTTATACACGTGAGTCCAATTTTGTGGCAATCAACAAGCGGAAAGTTAAAGAAAACATTTATTTTCTTTGAACAAGTTGACCGTCGTTTGAGCGATGCTCTCGAGTTTGCAAATGTGCGGAACTCATAAGCCAAGTCAAACGAACTAAACCCTAAACTATCCGAGTAGATGTGAGCAGTCATAGCCGAAATGGTAAAAAATGCGCGTTGTGCAGTTGAATATTGCGATAATGATTAACGCTATCCTGATTATCAAGTTAAGAGGTCTCGCGTAGAAAAGTTAGTTTTTCATTAGTGGCCCAAAGATCAAGCACTTGCTGAAATTTTGCGATGACTTTAACCCAAAGCCTGGTGCACAAGGTACTTTCGTTTGCTCAAATCATTTTCCCTTGGGAAGAAGAACCCCAAATGACCGCGGAACGGATTATCCTTCGATTTTTATTACGCTATCAGAGTACGAGCAATCGAGGACTCCGCTTAAACGTAAAGGAAGAGAACCATGGACGACATCAAAGCGTCCTCATCAAGCCTATGACACCGAGGATTCTGATTCAAGTTTTGATGGAAATCCAGCAAAATCTGAGGCATCTATACTCCCTGTCCCTTTGGAATTTGAACAGTTGACGAGAGAGTATGATGTAAGGTTTCACACCGGCCTGCCATCGACTAACAGTTTTAAGTGTGTATTTGAATATTTGGCTGTTTCTTCTTCTGGCTGTTAAGTCGCCTTACATAATAATAAAAATAGTTATGTCTCTTTACAAATAATTGGAAATACTAATAAGAGTTTGCCGTAGAACAGTTCCTGGCGATACTTGCTGACTTTGCTGTAGACATGTGCGTGGGTTGCGAAGTGAAGAACATCGCTCAAACGACGGTCAAGTTGTTCAAAGAAAACAAATGTTTTCTTTGACTTTCCGCTTTTTGATTACCACAAAATTGGACTCACGTGTGTAAAAAATCGCAACTAATAATTCGACTATAAAATGGACGAGTTTGAGAAATATTTTTGAAAGAAATGGCCAATATGTATAAGGGTAATTTTTGAGCATTTATTGGTAATTTATATGGACGCCATGCGTGACCGCGCGCTCGGCCCAATGTTTTTGCACCCCCTGCAATATGGCTGCGATAACCTTGAAAAGGTCTATTAAAGCGTACATTTAAATATCATCTTATAATATATACGTATCAAAATTTGAACACACTTTGAGTCTTTGACATCTCAGAAAATATTTTATTTCACCAAACCCAGCTTTGTGAAAATTACGTATTCAAAAAATCATAGACTGAAAAATTGACAAACATTGGAAATAAATCAAGATGATTTTAAAACAGATATATTTCAGCATGCTTATGCCGTTTTCAGTGTATTACTATTTACAGCAAGAAAATATTATGTCATTTATACATGTCACAGATATTAAATTACAGGGGTGAAAGTAGAAATTTTATTACAAGTTAAAATTAGACCTATAATGTATTTGTTTGCTGAGATCTAGTTTTATCAATTTGCTTAATATAAAGCACAAATAAATGATTTGAGCAATAAAGATAGCAAAAGCTGGACAAAACATGTGTCTACATATTATCAAATCGTGGTCTGTATGAAATGTTTATTTGCTATTTTGCTACTAATAAATTATTGAAACTACATTGACAAAGCGTGACTGACATTGATACCAAACATTATTATAACAATTACAGTCATTATGTTTCCTGCAGGATGTTTCCCTAACTTTATAAAGGTGTTGCTCCGAGGTAGGAGTAAACAAGCCACATATCGCGATAAAATTTCTATGTTTGACTTATCTTTCTTAATTGCCTCGACTCCGTAGGGAAAAGCAGCCTTCTCAACAATTTGAGTGATTCGGCAAGGATTCCATATATATTAAAGGAAAGAATCGTCAACGAGAAATGAATTCGAACTTCGAAGTAGCTATTAATTAAGCAACCATTCATTTGCTCTGTTTAGGAACAAAATTCGTCAATTTTCTAAGCTTTTGGGTGCTTGCATATTATTAGGAAACTTTTGAATATATATATATATATACTGTGTGTGACGACAATGTATGATTAAAATAATTCCAGACTTTTCTTTTAACTCCATCAGTAATTAAACAACAACGCTAAAAAATGTGTTAATGTCTGTGTCTGCTTACAATTTTCGTTCTTTGACAGGTTGCATAAAATTGCATAAAGTTGTGATAGTTTCTTTGTCCTCAAAACAGAAAGCCAACAGCAACGGATTTTAGCAACTTTTTCTTATAATTACTAAGATACTCGACAGAGATTGGCGACAACAGTTCGTTAATGCTTATCAATGTCTGAACTCATTACAACGCCCTTAATAACTGAGTGTGAGGTCTTTACGGAGAAATATCGGACTGAATTTATTTGTACTGACCGAGACCCTTAGGGCGAGGTTTGTGATAAAACAGAGGTCTGAGATTTCTCAATAAAGACTGAGTAGGCGAGGTTAATAAAAAGTCTATTAGTTATATTGTATTATTTGACCTGAAACTGCGCTGAAGCTTTCTTTTCTTTTTCCATTCTTGCTGTTTTGCAAGGACTGGCTTTCACTCCTCTAGTTTTTGCCTGGAGAAAATATATAGTTTGAAATTGTGTCGCCTAGATAATAAAACCCACTTTTTGACTTACATTTATACCATGGTTTTTTGTTTTGTTTTTATTTTAGTTTTACAAAATGTTTGCTGTTTGCTTCATGAAGTTTTGGTAAAACACAAGACAATAGACACTTCGTATATAGTAAACATATTTAATCTAGATAAATAATGTTTACTATATACAGTGTCTATTGTCTTGTGTTTTACCAAAATACTCTCTGGTAGTCGTATTTCATGAAATTTGTTTATCTACATTTATTTGTAAAATTACGCCTGATGAGAGCTTGTTCATTACATGAAAATATATACTGCCCCCTCAATATTTCCAATTGTAAGGTCATTTTATTACTTGAAAATGTCAGTCATTTAAAACAGTGCGTAATATATGTATATGAGATTTTGGAGCTAATGGGCAAAACGAAATGAAATATATAGTTGTAAAAAGCTACTATTCAATACTTTCCAATTTATTTGTGTTATTTCTTTTCGAGCGCTAGTTGTAAATTCATTGTTTTACTTGTTATCAAAATATAAATACACAGCTTGTGTGGATAATTCTTTTTAAAATATTGTTCGTAGAAATTACAAGTGGTGATGATGCTAATTCTAAAGATCTCGGAAATTGTCCTGGTGTTGAAAATACAAAACCAGGTATGCCTTTTAATTCTATTTTGTTTTATATATATTGCATAACTTAAGCATATTTGTTTTGTGGTGTACATCGGAATTAAAGCCATTTGATTGGTATTTATGTGTTTTTATGAAGATTTATTTTATTTAATATATGATGTATACAGTCCAAACGTTCGTTTAATACGTATATTCAATACGGTATCAAGGATATAAATTTTGCTTTTGCTAACGACGTTCAAATAATTTAAATGAAATGTCTACTAGATGGCAGTGCTCAGCTTAACTTGAGAATTCTTTGTTCACCTCAATAAATCCTGCGTATAATTGTACAACTTTTTCCCTATAGTTACTTAGGTACCTTCTCCACAGGAATTAGCGTCAACGGTTATGTAGCATTTATCAATGTCTGAATTCATTAATAAGCTCTTAATAACCTAGTGTGTGATTGAAGTTTTTCGTGCAGACTGAGCCCCTTAAGGCAAGGTTTGTACTAAAAACTGAGGTCCGAGATTTCTCAGTAAAGAACGAGTAGGTGAGGTTAATAAAAGTTTTATTATATGGCTTTATTTGAACTGAAAGGTTTTTTTCTTTTCTCGTCTTTGCTGCTTTGCATGGACTGGCTTTTGCTCCTGTAGTTTTTGCCAGAAGAAAATATATAGCTTGAAATCGTGTCGTCTAGATAAAAAAACCCCATTGTTCTTTTTTGACCGACATTCATACCATGGTTTTTTGTTTTGTTTCTTTTTTCGTTTTAAAAAACGCTTGGTGTTTCCTTCATGAAGTTTGTTTAGATACATTTATTTGTAAATTTACGCCTGGTGAAAGCTGGTCCATTACATGAAAATAATGAACGCTTACAAGGGAGGTAACCACCTCTCAATATATCTGTAAACTTGAAAAAAATCAATATAAAACTGTGTTTAATAAATGTATATGAAATTTTAGTGGTGCATCTTTTTGGTCTCCCAATTAAACCCCCTCGGCGTACTAGTTACTACAATGAGCAAAACGCGATAAAAGATATAGTTTTTAAAAGCTACTAACCGAAACTTTTCAATTTACTTGTGTTATTTCTTTTTGAGCACTAGCTGTAATTTTTTTATTAAATGACAAAATAGAAATACACATGCAGATTGTGGGGATAAAATTTTATAAAAAATTTTTCTTAGAAACCACAACTGGTGATGATTTTATTACCGAAGATGTCGGGAATTCTCCTGGTGTTGAAAAGACAAAACAAGGTATGTCTTTCAATTCTATTTTATTTTATACATATTGCAAAACCTAATCATATTTGTTTCGTATTGTATGACAAATCAAGTCATTTGATTAGTATATATGTGTTTTTATGAAGATTTATTTTTAATAATCTGGGGCTGGTTTTTCAAAAGCTGGTTAACGCTAACCCATGGTTAAACATGCCTAACCCAGGGTTAATTTTTAACTCTGGGTTAGCTTGCATTGCTCGAAAGTAGGTTATCTTAAACCTTCAGTTAAAACAAAGGTTAACTTTAACCCTCCTTGCTAGGTGGATTGCATTACTTAACCCTAGGTTGACATATTATTTTCGTAATTAAAACAACTCGTGACAGAATTTGCTCTTCATTTCCCATGTAAATTATCCTCGTTGCAAAAGACGATATTGCCTACGTAGACAAAATACTAAAGGTTTTTACGACAGTGAGCTAAAGGCAAGAAATAAAATTTGGTAGAAACAAAATAAATTGTATAACAAATCTAATTCTTCAAGCTTTATTTAGATAAGCAGCAAAGCTGTGCAATTCATCTACAACAAGTCCTAATTGCTTTGAGGTTCTTTGTTTCGGACAGTTTCGTAGAAGACGTATAAGATGTACATGATAATCGAATTGTTAATAAATCTGCAACGGTGCTAACATTACAACGGGCATTGAATAGACCTAAGAATCACTTTAAAACTGGCCACCTTCAATGATTGAAAACTATGTAATCGATAAAATCAAAATAACTTTTTTGCAAGCTGGCTTTGCTATTGATTGTGTTGATTGAACTCACTTAGTTAATTGACCTTGTTTGGATTTACCTGCTTTTTAACCCAAGGTTAGTTAACCCAGCGCTTAACCCTGCTTTGAACAACGCAATTTTAACCCAGGTTAACGAATTGAACCTAGTTTAGTTGTTAACTCTAGGTTAAATTAATCGGCTTTTGAACAACCGGCCCATGATGTATACATGTTGAATTTTCGGACTCCAAACGATCGTTTTTTACGTATGTTCAATACTGTATCAAACACTTAAATTTTGCTTTTGCTAACGACAAATAATTTCGATAAACTTTGTACTAGACGCACAATTTGCACAACTTGATAAGTCTTTGTTTATCTCAATAAATATTGCGTACCAGCAAATTGGTGCAACTCTTTTTATAAAGTGCTCAAATTGACTACACTTCATAAGTTCCATTAAAGAAAAAGGATTATAATAAATAGTCTAAAACCTTTTAAAATAAATCTTGATATAATGTACACCATAGAGATCAGACTCTGTATTTTAGAAGTGTTCAGGATAGACAATCTGTTTTAAAGTGCTTTAATCTGTTTTAACCATGACAGTAAAATCTTGTCACTTCATAATTTGTACTTGAAGCACATTATCTGTCAGTTGAAATTAAGATGAGACATGAGGTGATAATGACACCGTGCAATCTATTATTTCAAATTAACGTTTTTTTGTATTCTGCTTTTTTATTCATAAAAACTTCTCAACAAACTATCCTTTGGATATACTGTCATACTTCACGTTTGCACCACCATGCATACATTACCAAGCTAATGACATTGAAAATTATACAAAAAACGACCACCATCAAATCGAATTGCTCAATATACTTCAATAAATAGGAATTCCTGTGCATTGTAAGTAAAATGCCTCAAAATCATATGAAAAATGAGCCAATTTGACAATGTGAATTATCAAAGTTCCACGACAAAAAGAAGGCTATATAAAATTTTTCTTATGAAAAATGTGGCATTAAGTGGCACATTTATTGAACGAACTTCTAAATTCTAAATTTACAGAAAATTACAAGTTTTTTTTTGAGCTCTCTCCTTGCTAAGTATACTAGAGATTACATCTTCAATGTAACATCATTCAAATGTTCACAACGGTCATTTTCTTGCTTAGAATTGCATTTTGAAAGTTGCCTAGAGAATAAAAGTTGCTGTATCAGTTTTTTCTACCAGAAAATTTCCCAAAATAGATAAGCAAAAAACATTACTAAACGCAAAACATAAAAACAGCGACTATATTCATTGATTTCAATAAATTACTCCCAATGATCTCAAAATAGATAAATGTAATTATTTGGACTGTATTAGAAGAGCAAGTGAGTCCAAAACCTCATTTATGATACAAACTGTGTCTTCATTCGTAATTGGTTAACTGAGTTAATGGCCTCAATTAAAAAGTCCACGTGAATCAGTTCAAGGCACTTACCACTTAAGCCACCCGATTGAGCAAGAGAACGCTGCTGCTGAAATATCGCTTACAGAACTCAATGGCTGTGTCATGTTTGCTCAGATATTGTAGCACGGACCACTATATAGAGGATCAAAGCTGTAACTTTTCTTGGGGTGAGGGAGAGGGTGTTAAATAACGCTGCTTCTGAAATATCGCTTACAGAACTTAATTGCTGTATCATATTTTCTTGGATATTGTACCACGGACCACTGTATAGAGGACCAAAACTATAACTTTTAGTGGGGTGAAGGAGGGGGTGTTTAATAACGCTGCTGATAAAATATCGCTTACAGAACTCAATGGCTGTATCTTGTTTTCTCAGATGTTGTAGCACGGGCCACTGTATAGATGACCGAAGCTATAACTTTTAGTGGGGTAAAGGAAGGGGGTGTTTAATAAGGCTGTTGCTGAAATATCGCTCTTACAGAACTCAATGGCTGCATCATGTTTTCTTAGATGTTGTAGCACGGGCCACTGTATAGATGACCAAAGCTATAACGTTTAGTGAGGTGGGGAAAGGGTGTTTAATAACGCTGCTCTTGAAGTATCGGTTACAAAACTCAAAGGCTGTATCAGGTTTTCTGAGATATTGTATTAGTGACCACTGTATAGAGGTCCAAAATTATAACTTTTAGTGGGGTGGGGGAGGGGGTGTTTAATAACGCTGCTTCTGAAAAAATTGCTTACTGGACTCCATGGCTGCATCATGTTTTCTTCGATATTGTAGCACGGACCACTATATAGAGGACCGAAACTATAACTTTTAGTGGGGTGGGGGAAAGGGTGTTAAATAACGCTGCTGATGAAATATCGCTTACAGAACTCAATGGCTGTATCATGTCTTCTCAGATATTGTAGCACGGACAACTATATAGAGGACCGAAACTATAACTTTTAGTGGGTGGGGGAGGGGTGTTTAATAGCGCTGCTGCTGAAATATCGCTTACAGAATTCAATTGCTGTATCATGTTTTCTTGGATTTTGTAGAACGGACCACTGTATAGAGGACCGAAACTATAACTTTTAGTGGGGTGAGGGAGGGGGTGTTTAATAACTCTGCTGCTGAAATATTGTTTACAGAACTAAATAGCTGTATCTTGTTTTCTTGGATATTGTAGCACGGACCACTGTATAGAGGACCGAAGCTATAACTTTTAGTGGGGTGGGGGAGGGGGTGTTTAATAATGCTGCTGCTGAAATATCGGTTACAAACTTAATCGCTGTGTCATGTTTTTTCAGATATTGTAGCACAGACCACTATATAGAAGACCGAAACTATAACTTTTAGTGGGGTGGGGGAGGGGTGTTTAATAACGCTGCTGCTGAAATATCGCTTACAGAACTCAATTGCTGTATCATGTTTTCTTGGATTTTGTAGAACGGACCACTGTATAGAGGACCGAAACTATAACTTTTAGTGGGGTGAGGGAGGGGTGTTTAATAACTCTGCTGCTGAAATATTGCTTACAGAACTAAATAGCTGTATCTTGTTTGCTTGGATATTGTAGCACGGACCACTGTATAGAGGACCGAAGCTATAACTTTTAGTGTGGTGGGGGAGGGGGTGTTTAATAACGCTGCTAATGAAATATCGTTTACAGAACTCAATGGCTGTATCATGTTTTCTTGGATTTTGTAGCACGGACCATTGTATAGAGGACCGAAACTATAACTTTTAGTGGGGTGAGGGAGCGGTGTTTAATAACTCTGCTGCTGAAATATTGCTTACAGAACTAAATAGCTGTATCTTGTTTTCTTGGATATTGTAGCACGGACCACTGTATAGAGGACCGAAGCTATAACTTTTAGTGTGGTGGGGGAGGGGGTGTTTAATAACGCTGCTAATGAAATATCGTTTACAGAACTCAATGGCTGTATCATGTTTTCTTGGATTTTGTAGCACGGACCACTATGTAGAGGAATGAAACTAAAACGTTTTATCTGGAGGGGGGGGGAGCTATACATATGTTCAGTTGTGGTGGAATGACTTCTTGTGAAAGCCAAATGTACTGAAAAATATGGCAAGAATTTGAATCGCTTACTTTTATCGTGGTGTTAAAAAAATATTGAATTGGCATGATTTCTTTTCTCCTTGGGTAGAAATTTTATTAAAATGGAAATTTCCTTGATAACCCTGAAACATGACAGACAAATTGTTTCTTACTCATAAATCATAATATCCTGGATAAAATAGTTGAAGACTGCAAATAACCATATTCAGTTTTGCAAGGGGAAAATTATACCAGCAATGCTGCGCGAGAATGAGCTTTAGTTTACTGGGATAAAGATAACAAGCGTCATTTTACCAAGGTGTATAAGAGGAGCAGTACATATCAGATATAAAAACAACGTTTGATAGAATAATATTTAGGGATTTGATTGCATTTCAACATTAAAAGTTTAGCAGAAAACATAACATAGTTCATCCGGTAAGAGGGTGTTTAAATGATCCTGACTTCACTAACTGGAATTCAGCGAGGCGTTAAATGATTTTGGCCAATAGAAGGAAGTCGGTACTTACCATGAAATAAATCTTCTTGTTGAATTTCAAAACATTTTGATTTAATAACAGCGCAAAAAATTTAAAATTGAAACAACCAGTATGGCCTAATTTCAGAATGTCAACTGGAATGACTTGTGGCCTTTCACAAACAGTTGTAATTTTTAAGCTTGAAGTTTTTCCTTCTTTCAATGCCTCGAAATCATTTTACGTTTGTTAAGCGCCACAAGTCATTCTCGTTAAAATTTTCCAATTAGGCCAATTTGGTTGTTTTCATTCTAAAAGTTTTGCGTAATTATTAAATTAGTTAAATGAGAATGTTATGAAAATGCTCGATTGTATACTCTGTTGATGAGTATTGAATCATTTCCATTTGCCAAAGTCATTTAAAGCTTTGCTCAATCTCGGCTACCAGATCATGCATTCAGCCCTAAAAGACGAGTTCAAAAAACATACTCTCAAAATTTTAACTTAATATGTTCGAAAAATACAAGGTTATTCTTCGAAGAAAATCAACAAAATATTTGCAAAAAAAATTTTGGAATTAATTTTTAGTATAAGCTAACCTAAATGTTACCAGATTTGATTGCACAATTAAGAAATTTATGATATGTCTATCATAAGTAGTTATTGATAAGGATTTAAAAAATATGCGGTATTAATATGCGTTTCTTTTACCCATGCATGAATTTAATTCTTTTATCGAATTTTTTTAGATTCAAAGTTGCAAGAGTGGAAATTCAATGATAAATCAAAGAAGCATAAAGAAATGTTTTCAAATCTGCTTAAACGTGCACGCGATGACAGTGTCAAGGTTGAACAAGTGAATGATGTACGTGTGATTTTTTCGGATGATTTTTGCATCGGTAAAGGAAGTAACGAGACCCGTGTTTTTCTTGGACTGAGAAAGGATGGTTACGGCAAAGCAGTGAAACGAATACGTCGAGACAACTGCATGAAGCTTGCACAGAAAGAAAAAGAAATTTTAAATCAATTCAACGCAAAGAGATCAAAATATGTTGTGAATTATTCCTTCTTAGAAGAAAATACTGGAACGGAGTATGTCTATTTAATATTAGACTTATGTGAAGAATCGTTGGAGAGTTATGTGAAAACTTCTACTTTGGAAGATCTTCAAAAAGCTCTTCCCAAAATTCTCAGACAAGTTTTGCAAGGATTAGCTGATCTTCATAGTGGCGAAAATCGTATTCTTCATCGTGATTTAAAACCTACCAATGTTCTTCGAGACTCACAAGACAACTTTCTGATAGCTGACTTTGGCATTAGTCGAATATTGAAGGATGATTCTTCCACATATGAAAGCAATACTTCCATGGGAACTTTGCATTGGATAGCTCCTGAATCATATTGCGAAAATGATGATTCTGTTGATAAAGCGCGTTACAAAAGAAGGTCTGATGTATATGTAAGTGTAGGAATGTGAACATTTGTAAGTTGTAAAGAAACTCAATGTTGTGAAATTGCATTTTGATGTAACGCTTTTTATTATTTTAGAATGCAGGGATGGTAGCTTATTATGTTGCAACAAAAGAGAAACATCCTTTTGGAACTAAACCCCACAGACTGATTAACATGTTAAATGGAAACCCTGTTGGTTTGGATGAAATCGAGGATGAAACACTCAAGGACCTTCTGTCGTGGATGTTAAATCTAAAACCTAAAAACAGACCATCGGCTAACGAGGCGTTAAAACATCCATTTCTTTTGTCGGATGACGAGAAATTTGACTTATTATGTAAAGTTGGAAATCTTCAGCAGATTAAGACAAATGATCCCCTGTGTAGTGTCGTTCAACAATTGAATAGTGAATCCTCATTTTGGAAAAGTAAAATGGATTGTGATGTTTATGACTATTTGGTGAATGGAAGGCGCTATAAATCTTCATGGACAGAATGCTTAAGACTTATTCGAAATATTGACCAGCATTGGAAGGAACTAATAAAACATAAACCAAAACCATTTTATAAGATTGGTGATTACAGGGCGTATTTTCTCCGAGCATTTCCTAGTCTCCCTGTTCGGGTACATGCTGCTGTCAGGTCAAATGAAGAATTGAAGAACGAGCCAGAACTCAAGAACTTTTTTCCTTTTGATGAAAGCCAACTACATCAATAAACAATTTAGATACAACAGAACCTGTTAGGGGTGAAAAAAGTAGCTATTAGGAAAAAATTGATACTGTTGAGATCTGATTCTATAGATATAAAAAAACAGTTTCCACGACGTATTTAGTTGATATTTCACCCCGTTTCTGGTGAATCTACAGTCTGTGGTATTCATTTATACTATGTTTATATTTAATTTTTACTGTAAATTGTTTTGCAAAAAGACTGAAGGCGAATATGACATTAAAAGTTAACTTTTATGCTTGGCTGCACTGACAAATTTTGCACTACATTTATCCAACATAATAAACTCGCATACGATAAAATTTCTTAAATTATTATAATTACTAAAAGTCTTGCCGAGATTGTGAATGCATGCAAAACTGAGGAGATTGAACTTGTACATCATGGCGAGAATCTTCCAAAGAACATTTCTAAATCATGTCCACCAAGGAAAGAAGTACTTGTTAAGGAACATCAGTCTAGATTTGCATAAAATGTCAGTGGTGATGCTAGGTTTTGCCATGCCCATGTAATATGATGTTGAATCAGTGAAGACAACTTTTGTACATTCATTCTTAAATATTAACATAGCAAAACCAACATAGTGGAAGCCTTCAAATTGAAATTCCTCTGCAGGGCCAGGTGGAGGAAATTTTTCTCTAATGCAAGTAATTGCACATGATGGCAAGACGACTCTTACTTCTCAACCCAAGATACCCCAGCACCATCTTGTCAACTGTCTATATGCAATATGGCGGTACAGTTTGTCTTCGGGCCCATCATATGCTACCTCATATTGCTGCTTGTACAGGTACCAAGCTGTTTGTAAAACCCACCTGTTAAGACAAACCGGCTCAAAACCAGAATGTTTTGTTATGCACAAAGGGACTTCGGTGGTCTAATTCGTTTCTACTGCCTCTACATTTTTGTCACAAATATTGGAAATCTCTGCAGCATAAACATTTCTCGTTATTGTCCATTATTTGGCAGTTACCACATTGACACCTGAATATGTTAAAAGAAAGGATCTTGAATAGTAAATGTCTAAATTTCAATAAAAATTGTATCTTACAATAAAAACTTTAAAACTGAAGTATTATGTGTATGTGGACGTGGTCAACTTCAAAAACTGAAAACGTTCTTTCGAGATCTAAACAATGGTCTAGAATAATATAACATTTTATTACTCACCATTCAATATTGTCGCGCCGAGGTTCATCGTCAATATACGCAAATTACTGTTCTTCGTTGTCCTCAAACTGGTGAGCTTCTTTGTGTTCCTCAGCCAGCCATTCGGGCTATAACTGATATGGCCGAATAATGTTTGCTGGATTAACACAACTCCAAATCGGTTTGACATGACGTCAAAATAATTTCCGCTGACGCTTTCTGTGCCCACGCTGCTAAACCTCAAAACAGCTCAAATAGCTTGCTTGAAGACGCGATTTTGTCAAAAAGAAAATAGCTGATGTAAAAATTTCAAAATATAGTAACCTTTGCATAAAAATGGAACTTTTAAGACCAATATTATGTGAGGGTGGAGTTCCCCTGTAAGGTCAGTTAATTCCTTACTAATTTCAAAATAGTTATACTCCAATAATTTAGCATACAGACCAAATTATTTGGCAGACAAATGCATTTTTTCCAGGTGCTTCTGATAATCTTTTTTATGCATCAGTTTGGATGCATAATACATAAGTTTAAACAGTTAACAAACATATGAGCCCAATTAGGAAATTCTTCTCAGTCAGTAGTTTTCTATACCAAAATAAAAAACAGGAAATTTATTCATTTGCAAGTGCATGATAAAAACAATGTATAGTCCGTGATCTGTGACCGATTTTCTTTCATTCCCGTTGGACACCTCAAGGAAGGTCGTGAAAATTTCAAAACAGAACGACTTTTATATGCTTAATACAATTTTACTTATTGTCATCTCCAAAAAGCTGCAGTTTTTTTGCTACATCACATTGAAATTTTAAAATTTGTAGCTCATTACAATTCCGGAATCCGCATTATTCCCAAGAAACTTCATGTAATTTATATTTTGTGTGCTCGTGCCAGACCTATAACAGAGCTATTCCACTCGGTTAAATTGACAACCTGAGTAAGATTCTTAAAAAAAATAACGATTTGACACGTGCATTAGGTTAGATTTAAGAAATTTTCGTGAAGATGATATTTTGAAAGTTGTAAGAGTATTGTGCAAGACAAGGCACCCTTTTTCTAAAGGTGCATTGTCACGCAGTTGCGACTGCTAGCGAGTAAGGATAGGGACGATTTTCTTCCAATTTTTAGACTTGTAGACATTTTAGCTATTTCATATGCTTTTCATTACTGGAAAATTTTATTGCATTGTTAAAAAAAACAGAAAAAAAAGAAATTCATTCTTCAGTTGGTGAGCTTCTGGTATTATTTCATATGCTACCCTCGATACAGTCGACAGAGTAGTCTGAAGCTGCGCACAGATTAAACGCAACGCTAGTCGTCATTCAAGGGCGATGACAAGCGCGCGCTTTTTCTAAAGGTCTGCCTCGAATTCGTCGTCCATGTCATCGTCTAAAAACTCCTCTTCCTCAACATCGTTGTCATCAATATCGACGTTCGTGCATGCAGTACAAGAGCATACATCTGTGCACTTCACTCCTGCTTTATTACATGAACAACGTTGTGAGTTGCAGCCAGTCTTACATCCACAATTAACATTATCAAGTAGGGAATCCGGCGCTGGGGGAATGGTCATCCATACGATTTGCAGTTTCCCGTCAATTGTTTTCCACCCATTTTCATCCGGAGGAGGAATATCCATTTGAGGTTGTAAACAGGAACGCCAAATCGCCGCTTGGTAGTTTGACCGACGAATATGTTGCAGCAAACTGTCACAAGTTGGTGGTAGTTGCTCATCTGAACATTTTCCTGCCTTGAACAATGAGAGCCGACATTTGTTGACGTCCTCAGAATCCTTGTCACCGTACAATAAACAAACAAATCTATTTAGTTGAAACACAAGTTCTTCTGACGGGGGAAATGCACTTCCTAAGGAACTAAATGAGTTCAAATATTTGTGGTTACGTAGAAGAATGTTCCACGCTGTCTTTTTGCCCTTTCCATAAAAAGAACTGGTGGTGTCACATCCTTAAAAGAAAATTTTGAAAATATTGATTACAGTATACTATTCTTTCACTTATTATCATCGTAACAAAAGAAAACTAATGGCAGCATTGGTGTTATAGAATTACCAGTAAAGGCATGGAAACCTAGCAAGCTTTGACTAAGATTTTCATCACTTTCTTCTACAATAGTTTGTATAGAAATCAAGCGGAAGTTATTTCCTGTTCCAGTCATGAAGCATATTTCTTTGTTAATAATTCGTTGCATGGCGATCGACAACACAAAACGTCTGTATCTTGGCTTTTGATTATGATTCTTTCGTTGGTTTCTTTAGCATGATTTGCATGTAGTAAGAGCCGAGTGTCAGCTTCCTCGTGATTACACTCCAATTCATACATTTCATTGCATTCCACTTTATCCTCATCTGATCTAGCTCGAGTAATGCAATAGCATTTATCCTTCGACGTTACATACAACGATGACAGATGTCCGAGACAAGATGATACGTAATTGCCCCAGTGTTCACAAAGAAACTGGATCAAAGACTCTTTGTTTTCGCCCAGAGCAAGAAACTTTTTCCACTGCTTTGGAACATGTTGGTTTTTGTCGAATACACGAATTTTCTGAATTCCAGTGTTTTCGGATCTTCTGTTCCTTTCCGATTCCTTGATACTTGTGGGAAGGTATCTATCCGCAACAAAGTCAACTCTTGTTGCCTTCCAGTCTTTGGCCAACTTTAATACGTTATTAAAAATAGCATCGCAGAATTCTCCAAACGTTTTCCATTTGCTCTTCATTGTTTGGATAAGAGCCATGGCATCGACAATGAGTGCATTGTTATCACAGTGTTCTCCATTAAACTTGCACGTGAGGTGGTCACCTATACAGTAAACATAGTAAGAAATTCCTGCATGAATAAGAACCCAATTTGAGGTGTATTGGATTCTGGGATTCTTTGTAAATCCTACCTATCGAGATAATAACGAAACCTACCGAAGTCCAACACTAATAAAGCTAACAAAGAGAAACGTTATTTGTACCTTCAAAATTTCAAATAACTTGGATTTGGTTGTTTTAACAAGACTTCCAGAAGTGGTTGCCAAGGAAAGCGGGTACGTGCCAAGACTGTACGACAAAACATTTGCAATGTCAATTTCACGGGTCTTAGCTATCATCAATAGCCGAGCGAATAGGTCTCTGTTCATTTTTAAATTGATTTCTTTCCCTTTGCTGGTTGAAACAATTGACCGTTTCTGGCACAAAAGATCTGAAATCTTGTTATGGGTGAACTTTGCAAAAATGTCCGGTTTTGTACGCAAAAGATTATCTCGTGCAAATTTAATAAACTGCTCCTCCCCTATTTTTTCTGCCCCCAGGAGTTTATCTGCAATCTCATCTTCCACCACCAAGCCACTTGCCAAACCAACCAAATTTTCTTCCTCAACATCAAACGGATTGTTCATGCTCAACACTGCAGACATTACATTCTTCACTAATTTTTCATTAAGTGCACACTTAGTTCTGTCAAGATCTTTGCGGCTCCTGTAAAAATACCGTGCGATACAATTCATGACAATTCATGTATAGTTAGAGAAACTGCTAATCTACCTTGGAGTAATGTTAGAACCATCCATACTCTTGCATTTGTTAGCAATTGCGGCTCTTTCTGATTGGGCTAACAACCATCTGTGGACCACCGACCGATTTAATGAAAAACCAATAATGCCTCCCTTGGTTTTGGAGTCACGATTTACGGTTTGTTCAATCATCTGGTCACAAGAAACTGCGGAGAATCCGTGACAATCTTGGCGTTGGACTGCGAAAGTTGTGGATAAATCGGGAACAATCTCTTTAGAATGTAAAAAACAGTCGAAATGAAAATCTTAGAATCGAACTGTCTATTCTTTTATTTGTAGCTGTTAATTGGGATGCACAAATTTCATTAGATTATACCAACCAGGGTGTGTATTTTCCAATGATGTCATTTCCAGCCAATAAGCAGTTCCGTATCTGGCATAGTTTATACGATCGCAAATAAAAAACCATGGCAGCATACATCTGAACGACGCTAAATGAAGGTTCCAATCGACTTCTCGAGTTGCCCAAATGAAGTGCAGCAGGATTTCTAAAAATGTTAAAAAAACATTAAAGTGAGGCCAGCAAAATATGAAAAAAATGTGAGGGTCTCATGCTGCATGACAGGTCTTTTTGTATACATACAGTACTACTACATGAACAATGTTGTAAGAGTAACAAACTGCAAAAGGCCTTTTATTAAAGAAGCCAACAACTTTTGGCATAGTACAACGTGTGCTCTCCAAACATCAAAACCAATGCAAGTTATAAATTATTTTAGAGGAAAATGTCTTACATTTGCGCAGCACGTAAATGTATAATGTAAGGTTTGCACGAAGGACAAGCTGGTATATAGTACATACCAGTCATTTTTATGTACATGCTCCAGAATGCAAAGGTTTTAGACTTCATGGGTGATTTCTCAACAAACTGCTCATAGTTGCTCACGAGTTGCTCCATTTGCTGACTTTCGACACAGTCGATGAGCTTGCCGTTCGCAAAACAATCAGCCACGTTTTGAATGGATGTTGCAACACTCTCTTTTTGCTGATTATCGATTGAATCCAAGTATGCATCGAATCGAAGACGTTGCAAGGCTTCATACACCAATTTATGACACATAATTGATCGGTTGTAGTGCTTTCCGGACAAGACACCTCTTATTGATCCAACGCTGATAATTCCCGATTCAATGAGCACATCCTACAAGGAAATTGAGTACAATGATGTGACTTGGAAACCCAATGTTAAATAAGACAAACATGGCCTCTTGCTGTTAAGCAAAATACATTCTAAAATGTAAAATTTTATTGTTAAAAAATACTCGTTCACTTGAAAATAGCGAGTTTCTAAGAAAATCTAGGCAATTACCTTCAAACCAACATCTTCGAAGAGTTTTGATATAGCAGAAAGGTAGCTCATGCTGGCATGAAACTCTCCTAGTCTAACAACAAATCGGTCATAAAAAAGCTGTTATTTCCACCTAATATGTTGTATTTTAGCATAAACTGCTTCATCAAAAACAAGGACAGCTTGTTGCAAACGTAATTTTTCAATTATTATGGCAGACTTTAGCACTTCATTTAGAGTTGAGTATTCTGTTGGGGAGGCATCCACTATTGGAAGATAACCAACTCTTGACACATTAAGTATGGTATCTTTTTGCAGTATAGTGTTGAATCCGGACCATCCCGGCCAGAGGTTGTCTTCATCAGTAGTAAAATATTTTATCATGCAGTACGCAAGGCTCAGTTTTCGACATTTGAGAGTGAAGTCATTGCTCTCCAGAGGCTGCATAACTGACTTGTCTAGGGTAGATCCATCAAATGTAGGAGTTTTCTTTGTAGCAATACCATAAGGTGCAATAGCTACTAGAGGTGCTACTACTGTACGTTGGTTTTTCTTAATTGGTACTTGGCATTCTCTTGTACGGCATGCAAGCTTGGGAAACGTTTCCGGCACAACTTTTTGGATGATGATACCTGTTTTAAAGAAGAACATGTCAGATTATCAAAAAGCTTCTAGAATAAAAAAGCTTCGCATAATTTGAAACTGTTCTAATTTCGACTGGCAATATGACTGACATACCATTTGTCACATGTGTTTGTTTTGTAGCATCTTCTTGGAAATCGATATTATCATACACAAGGGTGATATGCTTTCCCTCTACAAAATCTTTAGGGATGGTATTCAAACTATTAATCGTCAATTGGGCAATAGCTGATTCATAAGCCATCGTTGATGGTAAAGATACACAATGACCAAGACCATTAAGTAGTGTAATTAAGCTGGAGCAACCAGACATTTGTCGAACTGCCATGGCTAATGACAAAGATTTTTTAGTCTGCACTTTCCCACTGCTGAAGACATATATCAAATCTTGGCAGATAGAAAATACCTTGAGAGCTTGCTTTTCCTGTATTTGAACATAACCAGCGCGTTCTGGCTCATCAGAAAAGCCAAGCAGCCATGCAATAAAGTTAAATACCATTGGTGACACTATTTTTTTCACGCTCTCCAAAGTAATATCAGAAGCTAGTGGAGGCCATGTATCATACCAGGATACTGGATTCGTGGATTCAAATTCCTTTCTTAATGCCAATGCAACATTATAAATTTCATGCAACGTAGTGCCTGCCCTGTATACTGCATCTGGCAAGAACTGTTCAGGTTCCTCACCATCATCAGAAGTTTCTGTTGACACTTCATCAGCGAAGGGAATATTCTCTACTATTGAACTTGGTTGAATGCAACCTGAGTAAACCATCTCACTTTTGTTACGCTGTTTAGGGGTTTGAAATATTAGTTGTGGAAACCGTTTTTTCATTCGTTGCTTTAATCGACTTGTTTTATAATTCGTTGCATCTGCATTTTCAACACGTGCAACAAATTTAACAAACTTTTCTTTAACCTTTGCCATGTAGAAAATACTTTCTTCTTGTATTATTTGCACTTTAATGAACTCTTCACAAAAAGCATTAAACCCTTCATTGTATAAGGGTTTTTGAGTGGATTCTTCACATTCAGCAGGGTCAACTTTATGGTGTTTGAGGAATGAGGTGTATTTTTGATAACATCCGTGATGATACTTCACTTCTAAAGCAACCAAGTCTTTTCCTCTAATGTGTAGCAAAATACTTTCATCACCCTTAATTTCTGCTGCTTTCCTAAGTCGACCACCATCTAGCGTTCTTGCCGTATATAGTGGATCCCGTTTCCGCTTCTTACTTATCTTAATAAAAATTGTGTGAAAAGTGATGCAGAATTAGCATGAAAAAAGTATTCCACATTATGGTTTAAATTCACATCAGTGGTGGCACCAAGAATTCTCCGACAGAGGGGCTTAGGTCCTCGATGGCGGCTCTGACTTACTTGGCTTGTGGAACAATGCGTTTTCCATGCAAATCTTTTTTTTCAGAGAAAACTTCAAAAAATTATTAAAAATCCTTGCTTTAATGTATTCAGTTTTGGCTGATTTGAAATTTAAGCAGTAGAGGTTTTTTGCATTTTTTTACAAAATATTCCCTATCCAAATTCGAAAGTCGAGTTGCAAAAAACAACTTCTGCCCCCAGCTCCATACAGCTCCCTACTCTAGTGCCACCCGTGCGTGATTTACAGCTACGTTTACCTACCCTGTCAGTGTAGTATGAATGCTCTTTCTTGCAAATGACACAGGTTGGAGGTAACACGTGCTGGCTCTTTGCCTTAATTCTTTTAACAGTGAATGATTTTGATCGCAGCATTATCTTTTCTGGAGATGGTCCTTCCTGCTGTACAGACGTAGAAGGCTCTGTATCGGTTGACGTTTTTGCACTCTTTTCAGAGCGTCGTTGTGCTCGATGTATTAAAGTTTTATTCGTAAATGCCGAATAACAACGTGAATGGTAAAAGTAACGCTCGTAACTTCCCAAGTTATCCTCTAACTCCTCGATAGGAATCACATTCGTGGTTTTCAAGGCTACGTCTTTCTGTCGTCCATCAAGTTGTAGCCATTGCTTTCTGCATTCCAGGAACCGTTTAAACGATGTTGGTGTAAAATTCGTCAGTGCTCCGCCGTCATCTTCGCAATGAATCAAACACGAATGCCTTTCTTCCATGTTTGTTGAGTTCGAGTTACTCGCCATATCTCTTTCTTAGTATACTTTATATCTCAAGTAACAACCACGAGAGAACTTAATGATGTAACTGATTTTTATTATTTTACACACCAGTATTTATACTCTTTATTACAAACAACAAATATTATTATTGGCCGGAGTAGTTCCTCTGTTTAAGCTATATATGGTACATAAGGAAATTTAACTAACGTCAATAACTGTTCCTTGGCTCTTAGCCGTGTGGGAACGGATACATTGGTAAGCCAAACTACGCACACACTATTTCCTTAACATGTTTTTGTGGTTTATGAGCATGACTCAACAATATTTATTATCAAAACATTGGCAGTATTTTCATGTATGATTTTTAAACGAATCAAACACGAATGCCTTTCTTCCATGTTTGTTGAGTTCGAGTTACTCGCCATATCTCTTTCTTAGTATACTTTATATCTCAGTAACCACCACGAGTGAACTTAATGATGGAACTGATTTTTATTATTTTACAGAGCAGTATTTATACTCTTTATTACAAACAACAAATATTATTATTGGTTGGAGTAGTTCCTCTATATAACCTTGAGTTCTTAAAACTGACAAGATTTAGGTCTAAAACAGGCTTCTCCTATGTTGATACATAAGTGAAAAGGTGACAGTTTAGGTTTGCTCCCAAAATTTTCGACAGAATTCTTCATTTAAAACTTACATTTTACTTTGACTTTATTAAGAATAGGGATTTACTATTTGTACAGCAGTTCATGTCGTGACGTCACTTGTGCCGATTGCGTAATAACACGAAAACTACTTTTGAGAGATCATATGCGTGTATGAGTATGAGTATGAGTGGGTGAACAAATCTCTAAACAATGTATCTTAATTTTAAAATACACTGTTTAGATAACTTTTATATCTTTTTTTAAATAAACATGTATATTTAGCGATAAATTAGTAATTATCGACAGAGGATTTGCTCAGAAATCGTTCGAAATACAAGAATTATAATGTTGACAAAAGTGATTTGACTCGTTCTCGCATGGCTGATATCTCGGCATGATCGAATGATTGGCGAAAATCAGGAGTTTTCATCAACATCTCTCCAGTCAATGGTTCCTAGAAAATGGTGAGTAGAAAGTAAAATGTGTTAAGATAATTAGTAGAGTTTTGCCATATATAAAACAACAAACATGATTAATAAAGCTACAGGTAGTTGTGTATGTCATTGTTCAAATAACTAAGATAAGTCTTAGATTATTAACTGTGCGTGGTCTGCATGGAGTTACCTTAATTAACATCTCTGCAAATTTCATGACATAAACTCCACAGTCAACTGAGTTTGGTTGCTGTGGTACCTAAAACATGTGAGATAGAAAAAGATGTTTATGGATGAGGGTTTACAACTATATATATATATATATATATATAGATACAAAGTGTATAGGAAGTTTATAATTTATGATTTTCCGTATAAAACAGTGCTCGATGCCCGAGAGCAGAGCGTAAATATATATATATTTCTTTGGGTACCTTACAAATTGACTTACCAATGGGTAAACAACCCGATTGCTCCTAAAATCATGTTCAAGTTTTTTTCGGGCTGCCCATTCAACGTTTAGGTATCTAAAGTCAAGAAATGTGTTGATAGTTTTAAAAATATAGCTCAGCCTATAAATATATATATATATATATAAGTTTGAAAATTTGTAATCCAGGCATTTTTCATTCTGATGAAGGCTCAAACAGCGAGTCAGCTCAATAAACTCACTTTAAATCCGAGAAACTTTTATCTTTTATATATATATATATATATATATATATATATATATATATATATATATCAGTGAATAAAAGATTATCCAATGGTTCGAAGTCATACGAGTAGAGTGCTCGATACCAGAGTAGAGCAAAATGTAAAGACAAACTTGGGTTACTTCATACGACTTTAACAAATTTGTAGTCAATATGAAGTCTTATGAAGTAACCCAGGTTTGTCTTTATATATGTATACATATATAAAGACAAACACATTATATTTATTATACATATTTATTATATTTATTAAATTATAATAAATATTTATTATATTTATTATATTTTTATTTATTTATTATATTATATTTATTATATATAATTCAGTTTACAAATTAACATTAAATAAATATATGTATATTTATTTAGCTATTATGCAAAGCTCACTTCCTGATGGATGTTTGAGCACCCTGGCTCCATTAACTCTCTCTTGTAATATATATGTGAATACATATAAATATATATATATATAATTCAATTTACCTCATTATAATATCTGTAGTATGACGGTGATGTACTGTCACCAATCCTGGTCTTGTTGGACAGTTCATAGAATCAAACACTACTATTGTTGTGCTAAAGTAAAAAGTGACAATCATTTTGTATTTCAGATTTAAAAATTCTGTTTGTACAGCAGTTCATGTTATGACGTTACTAGTGTTGTTTGTCACTAATTTAGGGTTCGTGTGAAAAACTAAGTATATGGTAGTATGGGTATGAGGTGCATGATATTAAAAAATAAGGAAGGTTTTGGTATTGTGTGGATATGTTAAAACACTCAATACCTTGATGCTACAGGTTGTTCCTTAACAGTTTCATTTGTTTTGTTAAATAGCACTATAAGAATCCAGTGCAGCCTTAAAAAAAAGTTAAAAACCCATCACATATTTTGCATGCATGTAATATACACAAAATACAATTTCATTCTATATTGATGAACAATAATTGTTTACAACATTACCCTTTGTTGACAGGTATTAGAACTATGTTCTTATTCCAGATGGCGACTTTCCTAGTGAATGATTTTGCACACTCCCAAAGTTCCCTGATATGAATAAGACAAAGCATACATGTACAGTATGTAAAAAGGAGACAAAATGAATTATGGTGAATGCCAGATTAGTAATGACCAGAGTGACCTGAAAAATATTTTATGATTGTATAATTGTTGTATTTTGATTGCAGTTGCATTATTATATATTTAAGTTACAGATACAAATACAACAGATACAAATTGACACACCTGTCATTTCTGGGAACCTTTTTTTCAGCTCCATTTGCTGTTGTGATGGTTTTATGGGTAGATGACCTGAGCTTGGTACAGAAATAGCTTGACAATGCAATGGTGGATTGTTTCACATTTTCATCAGCATATTCAAATTTGAGGTATCTATATAGCAAGAATAATAATTATAGTAATTATTAATCTACTGGATTGTTTTCATTGGGAAAAAATCATCAATTAACCCATTAATCCTCTCTCTTTTTACAAGTACTGTACAAGGCAAGTAAAATTTTCTGTAATTATAAAATTAAAATAACAAAGTGGAGTGAATTGCAACTTAGTAATGAGTTATTGATGCCCATAAGCAATTAAAACAAATACTGTACTACACTTCTTGTAACTTTCTTACTGAAGAAAAGCTTCAATAATGAGGTCGCTGACAAGACAGCCTGGATTTAAACATTGAAGTTCAGCTGGAATCAGGAGATTTCTGTACATGTTTCTCCAGTTATCAGATGTGGCATGTAGACATGAGTGGAAATTCTGTTGCTCTTCTTGTTCTCCATCCTCTATCGTTACTACTGGAACATTGACCTTGTACATTTTCTTTAGCATATTTGCCCTTGTACCAACGCGATTTCGATGCCACCAATCCAACCGTTTTTTTCCTGTTTTTTTCATCTTTGCTATGCAACCGATATTCTTTAACTTTTCCATTTTTCGTTTACTGTTTTCCTTTCTTGACTTTTTTGGAGAAGCACGAATATATATCCCTTCACTGCTCTTTGGCACAGTGGCACTGAGCTTAGAAATAAGGGTCTGCAGCTCTTTCGTCACATCACTCAAAACGTCTGCATCTTGGCTTAGGTAAGTCAGTTCTTTAAGTTGCTGTAATGTAGCCCTTGTTATATTTGCTGCATGTTTTGCAGTATCTCGTACGATTGTCCTTTTTTGTGGAAGTTGTCCCACAGCAACTGGTTGTACATTTTTGCTGTCTTGGCTACTTGACTCGATGTTGCAACTTACCTGACTCAATGGAATGAATTTCAACAACTGAGAAGTCGGTCATAAAATTTGCTGGCTTCCATTCAGGATTCCACTCCCGCAAGACGTGAAGTGCTTCACTTACTTGCTCTTCCGTTTCATCTTGAACAACAAAATCTCCTAAAAAAAGTGTTGTATATTGCTTAAAAACAATTGGACTTCACAATGCACCGTGCACCAGCAGCAGTCAATTGCCAGCGTGGGAGTTAACATAAGCAAATGATGTTGAAAATGACCATAATAGACTATAGTTGTTGTTGTCTTTGTATGGAATGAAAAACGGGCTAGTAAAAGAAGGAGATTAAGTTTATTGTCTTGCTTCACTGTTACTTCTACCTTCATCTTAGTTTTTTTTTACCTTTCTCTGCTTTTAAAACATACGGGCATGTATGTTCATTTTTCCTCTATTTTATTTTATTTAGGTATTTTTTGACAAACATGTATGCATGCGCATTTTATAAGATGCAAAACTGCAATAAATACCGACAACTGCGTATCCGTTGTTGGTTTTTACACAAACAAAGAAGAAAGGAAAGGCATAGTTGGTGGTTTTGTACGTAGCATCAAGGAGTGAAATCTCGTTGCCATATTTGACCATCAGACGTTGTTGCCACTGTTCCTGATGAACATATAAAAGTTTCTGGCTTGGCTCTGCCGTTTCACTTTCTTCCTTCACTGTACACATGCGTAAGTGAAACTTTGATGTGGGGTTTTTGCTTGTCCATTCGTCAATCATTTTTTGCAAATTCACCTGATCCAGTTTGCTAAGTTTTTGTTTGTTGGTAGCTGAGTAGATATGATTGATGATGTCTGTGCTGGTTGGATAAAATGACCGGTTAAGTGTTGAGGGCCTTGGACTTTTATCATCTTGGAACAATATGTTTTCCACATGGTAGGTAAGTAACTTTTTAACTTCCTGCCACTGTGTTACACCTATTTAATAAAAAACAGCCCAATAGTTCTGGATGATAATGTAAGGCCACCTTTTCTTTTTCAGTACGCCGTATTGCCGTTAGAGTTTGATGAATGTTTAAAATCAGTATGCCTCACCTGCTGCAACAAGCTCGTGGATTTTCTCTATTATAAGCGGATGGACCCCATTGGAAATGCCGCACACTTCTCCGTGTGGGTGGTTTGTGTGTGCTTGCTGGTTTGGAACTTTGACAAAAAACCTCTTTATTTTTTTAATTTGCGCTTCATTGTGTTCTTTATCGATTTTTAACTTTTTCAAGAGCGATGGTTTAATGACTCGTTCCATCTACAATAATTTGGACACAACGCAATTAGTGTTGAGGCTGGCTTTAAGATGATTAGTTCCTTTAAGCAACGTCATATACATTGTTAAAAATTTGTTGAGTAAATTTGATTTTTCTTTGTTTAACTCCCACAGTCTCACCTGGTGTTTGTTGTTACAGGATGTTGGAACGATGTAGTCTGGATACACGGTTAACTCCCTAACAGTGATCTGGGCCTTACACCCAAGCTTTTTAGTTGGCTGCACTCGAAATCGTCTTTTTTGGCCAGTTGGATGGCCGTTGATTCCCTATAGTATAGGTTGAAGTGTACTGCAGTTAATGTTGAAAATGATTTGTTCAAAAGTATATTATCTATTATAATTACGTTATAGGTGTGGTTCGAGTTTATAGAGTTTAATATTTCAGGTTTCAAGACTACGTACCTCCTCAGAATCTCTATTTGTCGGCCTGCAGGGTCCATAAATACACTCTAGTAACCGTATTCCATTGATACAAAACGGAGTGCCAAAAAATGGTATGGATAGATCACCAACATTGCTGCTCCATCTCAAACTACCTTTAATAACAACAATTATTACAAAAAATGTTGATAATTTTATTTATAATTATATATTTACAACAACTGATGAGTAACGTGAGTTATGAACAAAATTTATAGTGAGTGAGAAGTGGAACTTTCGTCGAAACAATACAATTTTTCACGTGTAAAATACTATAAGTGCAATACGTCGTATCAGTTTAATTTATGTACCTTCATTTCCATATCGCTTTGCCGAACCTCGTAGCGCAGACAAACGAAGCTTGAAAGATGTCGATCCAGCAACTTCGTATTTTGTAAAACTCGTTCAAGTTAGTCTCTCCATCAATCCAGCCTGTGAAATATTCACCATTCTCTACGACCTCTTTTAAATATCGGCTTATAACCTGTCGAATATCTCGATTGTTTGCATTATTTAAATTACCCGCCATTATGCAAATGATCGCGCAAAAATAAACTTGAAATTGACTTAATTTCATCGCTCAAAAGTAGTTTTCGTGTTATTACGCAATCGGCACAAGTGACGTCACGACATGAACTGCTGTACAAATAGTAAATCCCATTAAGAATATCGCTTTTTTGCCACCTTTCAAGATGGCGCCCGTTAATAAATTTGCCTCACCATGACAACGGCAGTTAGATCAAAGAGTTCCGCACCAAACAAAATGGCGACATTCAAAATTGAAGGAGCGAGGAATTTTGAAATTCAACCGCGAAGTACTAAAAAACTGCAGCTTTTTAAAAGTGACAATAAAAAGAATATCAAACAGCAAGTGACTTTCTATCTATTTTGAAAATTTTGCGACCTTCCTTGAGGTGTCCAACGAAACTCATTTTTAAAGCATATTTTTGAGGCACAGATCACGGACTAGTACCCAATTTTGGAGATAGCATTAAGTTGGATACTATTGTGTTTTTATTCTGTTACATTATTATTATTTTTCATACTTGGCAATACAATTTATATATTTACAAAGTTACCTATCATTCATTTTTTGATATAAATATACCTCAACACCAGGCTAACTGAAATCATGGTGAAAACCATTACATAATTTAGTTGTTTCATGCATTCATTCTTAAAATGGACAGTAATGCCACAGAATATTTACATACAGGTCATTTCTAGTGATTTTTGTGATTTGCATTTGTCGAGTGGCAATTTTCTTTGCTGAGTGTCAATGAATCATGTATAGTGTTTACATAAAAGTCACTGGGGAGGATTTTCTGTTTGTAAGTATTTTGTGTTAAAGGTCAGTTCCTTCATATTACAAATATACACATTATACGGCCTGGGTTAAATTAAAATAATTGAATGTAACTATAGCAGAAGATAGTTAGGATTAACCAGTCACCAACAATCAAACAAACCATGACTTTACATTTGAACTGTGACCAAAGGCAGGGGGATGGATGGCTAAGGAGGTTGCACCCCCTGAAATAGGGACCTTACGATGCGACAACGGCAACTGCGACGGCACCGGAGTTTGATCCCTTTTTTTAACTGAGCATGCGCACGCACCATCTGTACGTTGTTTACACGTTTTGAAAAGACGGAACCGACGTGAAAACAACAACTTTGGCGTCGCTTCAGAACGGCAGAGAAAAAAAAATCAAAAATCTTGCAAAAATCATTCGATTGTCAAATGGCGAGGTGAGTTTTGTTATCTTTGGCTTAATCTATGTAAATGAGGTTATGGTTGACTCAGCCTTTATGCTTAAATGGCTACTTATGGCTTAAAATGCTTACATATTTTTCTGAATATCTCTTTGTAGCACTACTGTTGCTTCACGTGCATCTATGAAATGGTCCTCAAGCCATGATATAGCTTTATCACGAGAAATCTTGCTATTTAGACCATGGATTCACAGAAGAGGATCAACTGAAAGAGGCCAAATTTGGGAAAACATTGCTAAATCGCTCAATGCTTTGGAAATGCCAAAATTCCATGTATCTCAGAGATCTGTTCGCGATCGATATCAACTGCTCGAAAAGAAATGCAAAAGAAAACAATCAGAAGAAGAAAGAGCCAGTGGTATTTCACCCGAAGAGAGTGAACTTCACGAGGCTATGGAGGACATCATAGCTCAGTTTGAGGAAGCTGATCATTTAAATGAACAACTCACGTTCGAGAAAAAACAGAGAGCTCAGGCAGAAGTTGAAAAGGCTGTAGAAATGCGTCGCTGCTCAATGGAAACGTTCAAAGAAACGAAAAAGAGGAATGGCGAGGAAGAAAATAACGAGCCATCTGCTAAAGAAAGGACCAGTGGATCGGATGTCATGCGATACCTGCGAGAAAAAGGCGAAATTGATATAAAAATGAAAGCTGATGAAGTCGAGCTGAGAAGAACGGAAAGTGAACGATATTACGAACTTATGCAGGAAGAACTACGCATTAGAAGGCTTGAAGCTGAACGCCAAAAAGAGCAGAATGAGCAACAAGTTATGCAGTTAACTAATTCCCAAATGATGCAACAACAACAGATGAAACAGCTATTTGAAGTGACTCAAGGTATGATGTTACAGCAGCAGCAGCAAAGTGCTTCTTTTGTAGCTATATTTGAAAAGTTTGCAACAAAATTCAACTAAAACCGTAACAATCATTGTGTTTTATTTGATTTTTGTTTGCATATCATTTTCTTTGAAAGACAGTGTTTATAAGACATTTAATATTTCTAAACATAAACATAAATAAGAATAATGAAGGATTAGGACTAATTTTTTGGTCTAACTTACATTGTTATTTGTATTGTTTGTATTAAATATTGTTGTTTTTAGTTATTGTTTTGGTCTATTCATTCTGTACTCTGTTAAAACATGTCAAACGTTTATGTAAACATTGCAGCACAATACAGCATTTATAATACCTCTTTTCATTCATTGTCAAAAAATATTCATCTAAAGCAGGTGGATCAAGCTGAAAATAAGTGGATGTTGACTGATATAGGCAAGTGCGTGCATTATGAATTAAGGCAGAACAAACATACATTTTCCCCACTGCACTCAAGTGAACTTTAAGATTTTTCTTAAAGTCTACAAATTTAAAATAGTTAACAACATCACCAAACACCCACTCTACTGCCACCCTGACAGAGCTCATAGATTTGTTCCATGCAAGTTGGTCTGCTGTTAGCCCAGCCCCTTTGTATGGAGCTTGAAGATGTGGTCTAAGACGGTAAGCTGGATCCCCATACACACAAAGTATATATCCTTCAGGATTCATTGAGTATTGCTGCATTTGATTCAAGATACCAGACATTGCCAGCATGGCACTGTCATGTCGTTTTCCTTCGACTGGGCCATACAAATTAGCAATTAGTCCATTAGGGGCTGCTATAGACTGAAACTTTATGGCGTGTACTCGTTTATGACCGTTGTAAAGTACACGTTGATTTTTTCCTGGTCTAGTCACAGGTCTGACTGTACCATCTATGAACCCCCAGCAGTTTGCCAATGGAGCACCTTGGCTGTGTACTGCATCAGCAAATATTTGTAAATTGGAGGGAAAGCCAGGGTTGATTTAAAGAAGACAACAAATGTCCCCATCGCTCATATGTGAAGTTGATAACTTCGTTTGTTATCATGCATAGCTGTGGAATGGGTCTTCCAAATGTTGGCACCAGATCTGCAAAGCGGCAAGGATAAGCAAACCTCATCAAAATATACAAAGCGCCTCAATGCCGTCGACTTGAACACCATTATAACAAGTTACCTCTAGAGGTAGCTGCATTACGTCGCGTAGGTGGTATATATCGTTGCGATAAAATCGAAAATTGTTTTTGCACTCATCGTCAGAAAACTTGTGAATGGAAAACTTGTCGTACTTTCTGTAACACATATTCGGGTTTTTTGGTTTATATATTTCGTATAGCAACATGCAGTCATCTACACCAAGAAAACCATCACCATTTGAAAGTAACAGAGCGTCTCTGATGCACGGCATCATGGAAAATATATAAATATGGAAGCTAGCTGTTTAGCGAAAAACTTTTTATCAACATAAAGATTTCCCGCGCTTTTTACGAACGTCGCCTTATCGTAAGGACAAATTAGCTACAACGAGAACGGCAACGGCAACTAGTCGATCCAGTCCCTTCAGAGTAGATTGAGGTTGCCGTCGCAGTTGCCGTTGTCGCATCGTAAGGTCCCTAATGATTAAGATGGAGGTGCTAAGACCCCCCTCCCATTATTCAATTATTCATTGTTACAAAGAGCTTTTCAATGTTTTTTTCTGAAATAAGTTCCTTTTCGATAATGGAAAATAATTGACATATAAATGGCCTCTCATACTGTCTGTCTCTCTCATCCAGACTGACCTAATGAAGCTGAAACTTTGCTTAATAGTCTGAATGTCACGCGCCTGCTACGACGTTTCTTGTGATTTGCTACACCGCTCTATACAAATCGTCGAGCACGCGTTTGAAATTTGTTTTTTTTGTTATGAGTATTGCCAAAATTTAGAACTTCAAAACAAAGCTAAGCACCACCGATACCAATATTTTGAGTATAGAAATGAAATTATGGTAACGTCCAGTTAAAAGCAGCTGCACAACTGATTTATTTGTTATCAAAATTATGCAATATGTAAAATAATTAGTTTGTAATGTTGTCAAACAGCTTTGACCTGTCAGAAAGTTGATTTGCATAGGTTCTCTGTTTGAAAACGGGGCATGTTTGTTCATTCTTATTAATTTAATGATTTCAGTGCTTAGAGGGAACAAAATTTGTTCTTCATCATATTTAGATTAAAATTACCGAAAATAGTTGCAAATAACGCTATTTTGTGGAAAATAATGCTTTGCCATTATCTTTTTATTTTTTTCGCAGACTTTAAAACGAAAGGAGATCCGTCAACATATGAATGACAATCTAATTGATCACGTGAGCGCCTTGTTACGATATGTTATGGCATTTGTTACACAGTTAAGTAACAATGTACCACGTCCAGAGTTTATCAATGCTGTTCAAAACATGGGTGACCGAATCACTGCTGTTCGTGCAAATCTTTCAGAAAAATTTGTGATTTTATTTTGAAAACTTACAGGCTTAGAAAGGAGAATTGAGAGTCTAGAGAGTTGTTATGGGAGCAAAAATAATAACACTCAATTGTCTGTAGATGGTTCCTTGATGCGTGAAAGGATTGCAACCCTCGAGCGGCAAGCAAGAGATAATTCATCCACTATAGTACAGTTTTATAAGCGTT